CCCCGGGCGGCCTGCTGAAGCAGGCGCGGCTCGACAGGCGACGCTGCCTTACCAGGAGCACCGCACCGGAATTGGCAATGACATCCTTGGGCTCCGACTCGATGGCGCCGATGCACGAGCTGATGGTGCCGCACGACCACGGGGAGTAGTGGGAGAGCCGGTCGTCCTCGTACTTGGCGCTGCTCAGGTCACTGGGGCTCTCGCAGAACTGCGGGGGAGAAAAGGCCGGGACGGTCCTGACCCTGCACTGCTCCTTGGCCCTGGGAGGCAGAGCTAGTGATGTGAGAATGGGCATCACAGCCCGCCTGTGTGGGCCTAAAAGCCACCCACCCTTGCTCTAATGAATAAACACCCCTGACCTACACGGGAAGGGTAGTGTACGCATGCACACATGCACAGAGAGAGGGGGGGAGGTTCCAGGGGTAAGGGTAAGGGGTAAGGGTCATCAAGAGATCAGAGAGGGCGGCGACTCCTCCCTTCCAGCCCCGGAGGCTCGGGTGCCTTACCTCCGCACTGAAATCCATGCTGAAGAGTGGAGAAGGTGGCGGCGGAGACTGCGTCGCCCCAGGGAGAGCGGAGGACGACACGAGAGGTGCTTTCTGTGCATGGCATGGAGCCCACTGCTCCGGTTTCCTTCTCAGTGGGTCGTCAAAAGTGGCCTTCAAGTGGCTGCAAGGCTCCTAGGAGGAAGATGCCAGACACGTGCTTGAAGGACGGGGCAGCGCCAACACACACGGGGGCAGCTCGCTCCAGCTGCAGGCACCGACTGCTCGGCCACGGACACAAAGAGGAAGGTGGGCAGGAGGCCAGGCCTCCTGTCACCAAGCCCAAATTCTTCCTGACAAAAGCGGAACTGCGTGCCCTCCCGGGCTGGGATCCGAGGCCGCAGCTGGAAGCAGAATGTCTTTGCACTGCTGCAGAAGCCCGTCAAGGGAACGCCGGCTTCACCCGCCAGGATGCCTCCAGCAGCAGGCTGGGGCCTGGGCCTTGCAAAACGAGGGTGGGCAGCTTGGGGCCGGCAGGATACTTTGGTGGACCTCACGCTCCTCGTCTGTGGCAGCGCCGGTCCGGCCAGTCTGCCCACCGGGCACACACAACACGGCGGCGGCATCCCGGAAAGACTGAAAACACCGCAGCCCCGCACACCACACGCAGCAGCAGCTCGGGAAGGAAAGCGCAGCAGCGAGCCAAGCTCTGGAAGGGCTGAGGCTTGGGAGACGGTGGCCCCCGAGGCCAAAGAGCCTCACGGGGCCAGAGCTGCCCAGGCACGCGGGGCGGGAGGCAGAGGGCGAGTGGCGGAGGCCGGCACCTACCCTTGGCAAAGGCACTGTCCTCTGGTCTGCTGGCAGCTGGCACGGCATGGAGTAGTAGCTGTCCAGGGAGCTGTATCTCTCCCGCAGGAACGTCTGATAGACGGGGGGGTGCACGACGTCCATGGCAGGCAGCGAGTTGCTCCTGAGGATGTCGTCCCGCGGGTACACCTGCGGCCGCCAGATGCGCCGGCTGTCGTACACCGGGGCGTACATCCCGGAGGGCACCGGCGGGACCGGCCCGTATGGCTGCGGGGGCGGCTGCTGGTAAGGAGAGCCCAGCCTGTCCCGAGGGGGGAATGCGCTGTAATGATCGCCGTACGGCACCGAGGCAGGCGGAAGGGGGCTTTCCGAGACGTTGCCGGACCTCACGAAGCGCGGGAGACACGGCGCCACACCGGCTGGGACCGTCGGCGGCGGAGGGTAGTATCCTGCGGAACGAGAGACAAACGCTGAGCTCTGCCGATCGGGAAACATGTCACAAAGCCAGAGGCCTTGTTTCACATCCGTTTTGCACACTCCCGGAAGTAAAAACAGTCCCCTGGAAATAGAAAATTTGCCTGGAGAGGCAGCCCGGGGAGAAACGGTGATGCCAGGAATCTACCAGCCAAGCGAGGATTATTTTCGAGATGTCAGGGGAGCAGAGTGTGGCATCTCTTCTGACCAGAGGCAGCCCAATCCAAATGCAATTCCACTTGCTCTTTGCTTTGAATGCCAGCTCCATATGACTCTTGCCTGCTCTCACGTTTACACATGTGTAAATGGGCATCCTCTTCCGATTATCGCACAACACAGGCTACTGCTGTGAAAACAGGGCACCTCTGCCAAGACTCGACTTCGTCAGCTTCCAAATGTTAACTAGCTGCCACGTCCTTGGCAATGCGCATGCGTTCCCGTTTTTGCCACAACGCTACGCACAGGCACAAAAACAAGCAGGTTCTTCTTAGAAATTACACAGGTGTGTCAGTAAGTCCACAGAAGTTCTCGACTTGCACAACAATTGCACTAGGCTCCGAAAAGGCCAGCTGAGCTGTGCTTCTGGGACGGACGGGTCATTTCCTGAGAGGTGCAACAGATGGCCGGATGAGGGAAGGACCGCTCCCTCGCCTCCTGCGACCCCTGCGCTGGGCACGGAGAAGGACGCATGCCTGTCCATGCAGCTCGCACGGAGAGACGCCTATCCTCCTCACAGAGTCTGAACGGGAAGGCCGCAAGCGGGACGCGGGTGCAGCAGAACCCTTCCCCCTGGTGCTCCCCCGCGACCATGATCCGCCCGACGGGAATGGACGATGTCCTTCCCCTGGAACGTGGACAACAGGAGGGCTGGCGCTAGGGGAAGGGGGTGCTGTCATGTGGGGCGGGCACAGAAAAGCCCCGCCTGCTCCACTGCCACGGCAGCTCTGCGGGCCCACTGTCCTCTCTGCCCCGGTCTCTCCGCTCGGGCGCTTTTCCCCGGGTGCAAACAGTGACGCAGAAAGGAGAGAGAGAACGGAAGAGACAGGCACTGGCAGCACAAACTGGAGGGCAGCAAGAGTCAAAGAGAGCGAGCTTGCGAGCCAGACTGGACTGTTTTAGTGAGTGGAGACGCCATTTCCCCCTTTCAAAGCTTTTCTCCGGGCACTTGGGTGGAATAGCAGAGGCCGCGTGGGGTCTGCACGCTGCTCACCTTGCGCTGGGGAAATCTATCTGGCGCCAAGAGGCCTCGAAGGACAATTGGGACGGCCGGGCATGCTCCGGGGGAGCCCCAGAGGCCCCTTCCAGCGGCCACCCTCTCCCGCGGCTGTGGCAGTGCCTGGGACCCGGGCCAGCGGCTCACCTGGTTGCGGGTACTGCTGGGCTTCATAGGAGAGGTGAGCCCGAGGATCTTGGAAGTACTGAAGGCTGTCGGAGTGCGGGGGGTAGATGGGCACTCTGGCGGTGAAGGGGCCGGATTTGGGGGTGAGGGTGCTCATCTCAGTGCCGACAGGAGGTGGTGGCGGGGCAGGAGGGGGGCCTGCTGAGGTAGCTGCTGCCTGGCTGACGGGCGTCTTCGGGGGCGAACCGATTTTACTGAAAGAGAGGGGGGGGTTCAGGCTGTCACCTCACTGAGAAACGCCCGAGAGGGATCTTGATCCATCCGTCCATCGCATCTCTTCTACGGCTAAGCCCTTGAGTGCCAATGGGAGAAGGACCATTCCTTCTTTGGCTTTAGTTGAGGCGCGCCTGGAGGGGACGGCAGGGGCCATCCTGAAAGAGGCCCCCCTGTTTCAAGGAAAGGGACTGTGCGTCTGCAGGGGGTGGGGGGGACGCCTCTTGGAAGCTGGGAACGGCTTCCTCCAGATGAGCTCGGCTCTGCTGCTACCATCAGAAGCAGGACTGGGCAGGGCACCTGCTCTCCACCCGCGGGACGTACTTTTCCGGCAGGGGATCCGTCGGGGAGGCGGAAACGGCCTGGCCGTTGGCACCCGCCTTCCCCGCTTTCTTCACATTCTCCAGAGTCCTTAAGGAAGAGGTGTCGGCACAGCGGGGGATCAGCTGGGGGACGCCGCTTTCCAGGCTGGCGATCCCGTTGCTGCTCGGCACCATCTTCCCAGCCGCCTCGGCGCTTCCGATGATGGAAATGACGTTTGCAGCCGCCGTGGTGGAGACGGTGCTCGTGACGTTGGCTTTGCCTAGCAGAGGGAAGGTCCTCACCGTGGCACTGATCTTCTTGTTCCGCAGGCGGTACCTGCAGTTACAAAACACGGTGGGGAGAGGCACTTTTCCCGAGCAGCTGAATCAGAGAAAACAGATTCCCCTGGAAGCCAGCAACAAGAAGAGGGCTCGATTTCTCTTCTATCGGAAGTTGTCGTGGAAACAGTTGCACAGAGTTTGGAAGGAGGCCAGGCTCCATGATTCCCCCATTCCTCTAATCTACACCACAGCCCTGGGGGGGCGGGTTCCAGACAGGCTGCTCTTAGTGCCCCCCCCAACGTAAGGAGGAATTTTATAGCCATTCCCTTTCTCTTTCTGAACAGATTGTCTGCAGTGAGCGAAAAGACAGCAGAAGCCGTGGGAAAGCACCAGAAGACACACAGACCCAAAGGGCACGGAGGGTCCCCCGCTCAGGTGTGCCCGTGGAGGCCACCAGCAGGGGGAGCCACCCGCCCCCTCCTCGTACTCACTTCTCCAGCTCCTCCTGAGAGTGCGCGAACGTGCAGTTGGTCCCTCGCGGGCACCCGCCTTGCTGCCGCAGGTCACGGCACATGCTCGTTTTGTACTTGCTGTTGGGCTGCGGCTTTCGGAAGAAGAGGGGGGGCCAGTCAATACATGCCTTGCTTAAAGGCAGGGCTCAGCACGCATCGCGACCACCGGAAAGGCTGCGTTCCATCACCCCTCCGGAGCGGGAGAGCCCGGACCACACATGGCCACGGGGAAGGGTTTGCCTGGCCAGCCACCGTCCTGCCTGGCCACGCTCAGCACACCCGGAGGTGGGATCGGGGTGCTGGATGGCGGGACAAAGAGGGAGAGCCAACGGGAAGGCCACTCCTCGTGCGGATTCCGATCTGCCCCCCTCCTGCCAAACAAATCCACCGGTGGAAGCACCCAAGTACCCCTGGAACAAGCGGCCAACTCCGCCGGCAGCTGGTTTGCACAAGCCATCACCATCTCCACTGTGCCCACTGACCCAGGAAGGCTGGGGACCCGAGGGACACCAAAACCTTCTCAGCCTGAAACGGCGGAAGCGATCGGCTTTGCTCTCCTCTCTGCGCACACCATTCCCCACACTCTGGCCCTCCGCTGTGTTTACTGTTTGCACGATTTCGTTTAAATTCATCCCCAGCTTTGGGAATCTGGGACACTGAAAAGCAGACTAAAAACCAGCCAGACAGGTAATACCTGTGGAGTTTCGTGGCCTTTCCTACTGTAGTTCTGGATGAAGTCCACGAGGCCGTGAACCACCGTCTTCACAGCCACCATCCCGTTTTCCAGCTGCTCCCATGTTGGAGAGGCTGCATCTGGGAGGAGGAGGAAGAGGAGGAGAAAGTCTTCTGAAGCACAGGACAGGCCCAGCGAACACGCTCAGGACCGCCCGCCGTGCGGCCAGCTGTCCTGCCCTGCTTCACTGGGAACTGAGCCCCTGAGACGCACTCCTTGGTTCTTTCACAACATTCCTGCAAGGTCGAAATGGAACCTAAAAGCTCCGTGGTGGTTTTCTCCTGCTTCTGCGACTTAACAGAAGACGACTGCAGAGCCAGTGCAGGATTATGCCTGGTCTGGGTTCAGACAGACTGCCAAGACCAGCAACACAATTGCATAATGCGAGGGCGGCTGGTCAAGATTCCCCAGGTTTTCCATGTCGGGCAGAAAGTCTGCCTCAGAAATGCAGATGGAAGGACTCGCGCCCAAACGGTGGGTCCGCCCAGGAAGCATTTGCCTGCATACAAGCACAGCCTTTCTCTTCACCCCACGGAATTACATTTTGGAAAAGCTGGATCTGCAGTTTGTAACCAAAGCCAGTCAAGCTGAGCGATACTTGGCCGGTCTTGGTCACATCACAAATCCAGCCAGCTCCTCATGAAAGCTGTATTGGTTTTAAAGAGGACGGAAGGGCGTTTAAACCATACAAGCAGTGTCTTAGGCAATTACTAGGGCAATCCCATATTAGACCACCTCAGAGTAAATGCCACTGAAATCGAATGGTCTCACTCCTGAGCCGTCATGGATAAAATTATGGTGTTAATTTGAAAACTGAATGAAGAAAGGGCAGGTAAAAATGACAATGAAATCAGTGCTCAGGTGGGGGGGGGAAGCGCGTCACTTTCTGCGTCTTCTGGTGTGCCATTTCCGGATGCTTCGCCCCCTGCAGAATTCGCACTCGGGACGTCTGCACATACCTGGGTTGGGATCTATGTTGGCCAAGAGCTCCAAATGGGGGCGAAGCCGGTTTAAATTGGCAGGGTCAGCCGTACGTTGCAGAACAATTGTCAACTCCTGCACGCTTTTTGCGAAGGATTCTGGAGACTGTAGCTGGAGGCAAGAAACAGGCCATGCGCCGCATCATAGGAGGAAGAATCCCACAGAACCTGTGGTTTTTTTCAGGCTTTTCAACTGTCAGGGGGCCGCCACGTGCGTAGCGTGAGCAGCTAAACCATCCCTCTCCAGCCTGGTGCCTTTCAGAGGCTTCGGACCACACGCCCAAGCTTTCTTGACCACAGACCTCCTGGCAGTGGCCGATGGGAGTCGAAGCCCAAAACAGTTAGAAAGGAGCAGGGTGGGGAGGGACAGGGGAGACCGTGGCTTAGCAAAGGGGCCCGCACCTTCAGCCCGCATAAGCTGAGGATCAGCGCTAAGGGGCTCTGCCTCTCAGCTCAGAATCTGCCCTATGCAGCTTCATCATCAGATGCGTCAAGCCCAGAAGATATAAACCATCTGGAGATTTTGGCATAATCAGAGGGCACACGAGGCACTGAAAACAAACAAACAGGTAAATAAGCAAGGAAAGAGATAACTGGCGGGGGCCAGCGTTCCGAGGCCAGGCTCACCTTGTCAATGATGGACTGCATGTGCGATTTGTGGGCCAGGTCACCGTACAGCAGGGAGGACCACTGCTCCGGGGAAATCCGGAGCCCGGCTTCCATGGCAATGTGGACAATCTGGGCATCGTGCTCCCTCCGTAATGCCTCATAGCTGCGAAACTCCTCCTTCAGCTGCATCAGAGAGGAATCCTCGTCCCTTTTGGTAACCTGCTCGGATACATGCACTCATTTCGGCCACAGGCCTATGCGGGTTGAGACAGAGAAAAGCCCGACAGCCCCCGACAGCCCCCAGGGAGCGCCGCTGGCCGGAAGACGCTGGAGTTGCTGGCCTTTTCCCCATCGACACGCGCACAGAATTGGAACAAGCACAGCCACCTGCGTTTAGATGCCCGGTTTTGACAGCATGTTTTTAAAGGACCGGAGGAATGCAGTCAATGTGAAGCAAAGGAGCAAGGGAACTTCCCGAGGGTAGCTGGGAAGGTTGGCGGCAGCGAAAACAACAGAGGCCCACGTGGCATGCGAAAGAGCAGCCATCTTTTAAGCGTGGGCGCTAGTCCACGAACACCAACAGGTCCATAAAAGGCTGTCCCTTCGCTGTGCGGAGGGTCGTCCTCAGTGAGCCATACACACGAGGAAACAGGGACAAATAAGCAGGGGACGGGGGGGGTGAATCCTCTGTGACGACTCGGTTCACCGCTCACGTGTGTGCAAAAAGCAGGTGCCACAGAGAAGGGGAGGACCGTGTGAGCCAGTGTGGGCTCCTTCCGGGGAAGAGGGAGGGATGCGGGCAAAGGTGAAGAAAGGAACAGGGGAAAGGCGGAAGGAGTGGTGAAAACACCACCGGCACGCCATCGCCGGCCGCCGCTGCGCTGAATGCCGGCCGCGCTCGTTTCGCACACAGGGGCGCCTCAGAGGAACAGCCGCGGGGCTGCCGCTCCTGCAGGGGGGCGGGCAGCCGCCGCCGCTCGAGCCGCGCGTACAGGATCAAGCGCGAGAGCTGCACACCTTGAAGCAAGACGCCCGGTACAGCAGCTGCACCACGTGCCCAATGCTGGTCTTGGAAGCCTGCGGGAACCTCGGCTCCAGCCTCTGGACAACGAAAAGCACCAGGACCTTTCTGGAGAGGGCAGAGCCGTCTTCCAAGGCCAGCAGCACCAGCTTCAAGGCTTCTTCCTGCATGGCTACAAACCCAAAAGCGGAAGTTCCGTCCTCAGAAGGCCACAGACAAGAAACCAGAACAGATGAGAGGAGGCGGCCCCGCTTCGGCGGAACTGTGTTCTGCGACCGTGTGGGCTGAGAGCAGGACGCTGCTCCCTGAAAAGGCACAGGGGGGCCACCTGGTGTACCCCTGAGGGGACTGGGAGCTGCAGGGCGAGGGGACGGCTTTCGGAAGTAGCCACTCGGCCCCGCAAAGTGCTGTCCAATGCCAACATCCACAGGGAAGAGGCCGGCCACTCGCGGCAAGCCTGGCTAGCACAGCCGGGCATGCTGGGAGCGGTGGGCTTCTGTTCAGCCTGAACTTACATAAGGTTGTACGCTCGGGCACTTTTAGAACTCGGGACTGACAAATGCCGAAAACACTAAAGGCTGTTCCCGGGCAACTGCGAGAGCCCTGCAGAGGGCAATCCCATAAATTTCCGTGAAATGCAGGCGAGAAGGGGAAATCTGTGTCACTGTCACTGGGGGCTCTTGGTCTGCTGGAAGACCAAGGCCTGGCCTACACCCGCGCAGAGGAATGGGCCGGCCATGAGGTGGCGGAGTGGGCTGCACGGCCGCAGGAGGCAAGCGAGAGGCCCTGGAGCGGGGTGCGTTCCCACCTTGCCCAAAAGATCTCCCGCGACACGAGAACTAGCACAAGGGGCAAGCTCCTTCCGCCCCAGCCTCCGTCCCTTGCGCTAACCCCCGATTCACAGAGCGAGTTTTTAAGAAGAGGGGCGCATTCACGCAGCGGATCCCTACCCCGCCCCCGGGTGGCCCAGTGCATCGCACTGCCATGTCCCGCCAGTGTGCAGACCGGGCCGAGAGTCCCTCCTGCAGGCCGCCGCCGCGAGGGGGGAGCGTGACCCAGCAGGGCCTCCCCAGCGCTCCCAGACACACCCCCTGGAAGTGGCGCTGACGGGGCCCAGGCAGCAGCAGCCCTGCCGGCCGCACAGGTGCCCTTTCCAAAGCCTCCGGCTTTGTTTCGAAGACTCGCTGCCCCAGTGCTTTTCCCGACCGCTCCCCGGTGAAGACAAAGGCTGGAGTCGGCAGCGGCCCGAAGCCAGGGAGCTGCCACCCCGCCCCGCGCCCCGGCCACAGCTTACCTGGCCCCAGGAACTGGCACCCGCGAGCCCGGACCGCGGCCCAGAGGTTGGCCGACAGCTGCTGGGGGTTCTGGTGCTGCAGGATCAGCTCGGTCACGGTCCTCTCCCCGAGCGAGCGGGCTGCGCGCATGGCCCTGACGCGGCCCTCCTCCTCCACCAGCTGGCAGTTCACCAGAGTCACCAGCTTCCGCTGCATCGGCCGGCTCAGCGCGCTCGGATTCAAGCTGGCGACACCTTCGTGCGGAGGCGCAAGAAAGAAGGTGAGCTGGGAGACGCGCCCAGACAAAGGAGAAAGGGTCCCACACTCGGGCGTGTGGGGCAAGATCGCACGCGGAGCACTTAGAACGCATCCATCAACTCGTCCATCCATCCATCCATCCACTCGCTGTCTGATAGCCAAAGATTTCTGAGTGGTTCAAAGCAGCGCATAAAATAGAAGTGCGAACCCGCCCCACAACTGTGGGTAGCAACTTCTCCCACCAAAAACAGTAATAGTGATTCGTGAACACCAATCCAGTCACACGAGAAAGCCAACTTTCCGCCTGACTCCAAGGGACCCGGGGCCCTTTCACTGGTCCTGCGGGAACTTACCCTTGCCCCCGCTTAGCGGCTTTAAATAAAGTGCCAGGTCTTCAACACACTTCTTTGCTACCTCATAGTGCTTGTTCTCTCCTAGGTTGCTTAGCTTGATGGTCTGATGATCAGGTACCTATCAAGGGCAGAAGAGAAAAAGGCAATGGTTACCAACACGGATTTGTGTGTGTGTGTGTGTGTGTGTGTGTGCGCGCGCACACACACACACATGCATATTTCAACTGGAATGGCACAGGAGATTGTTCACCACTGGCAAACAACCCACCCAGCTCTGGAAAGATGCAAGATCATGCGGCTGTCTTAAGATCTGCCTGGCCAAAAAGCAACCGGGCTTCTTTGAGCAGGCCCCGTTACAGGCGAGCAGCACTGCCCTTCGGGGAGGGAGGCTTCTGGCGACCCAGTGAAGAAGCACCATGTCTTGGGACGCAGCAGCTTCCTTCCTCACCGTGCCTTTGGCTTGAGCCCATTCCAAACAATGCAGCAGCAGCCAAGAAACGTCAGGGATGGCAGCAAATCAGTACGAAGACATACAGGCCACTTCTGCACTGAGTACGAAGCCAGAATTCTTTTGGAAATCCACAGGTTTGCTCCTCCTGCAAGTGGGAGCAGCTGAACTCATGCAGCAGGGCAGAAAAGCTTAGCGTCTCGTCTAAACCAGATTCCTGGGCCATCTCTGCAGCCTGGCCCGGGGCTGCAGCTGGCTTATGGAGCCCGGCTTGCTAAAAAACCAGCAAGCCAGGCACCCAGGCGAAGCTAAGCTTCTCCACCCTGCTAAGTTCCTGGTTGGCTTCACCTGCGGGAGAAGACAAACGAGGGCGACCCTGGATCATTCTGACTCAAGTGTTCTGTGCAAACACAGCCTCAGTGAAGTGCGGAAGGGCTCGGCGCGACCTCTCCCCGTACCTTCAAAGCCCTCCTTTTCTGCAAAGCCTTTGGCTTAAGCCTTATCCTCACCTGCGACTGACTTGAAGCACTTGGAGTGACATTAGCCCCTGCTCTTTCCGTACGATCGTCTCTCTAGGACTCTACTTTGCTCCGAGGCTGTGGGCTCCCCGTTGGCCGCAACCTCCCCACATCGCTTGTGGAACTCCCCAAGGAGCAAAGTGGGCTGATGGCACGGCCATAGCCATTTATCTCACGGACGCAACGTTGCTCCTTCGTGCGGCGCGTCGTCATGCATTTGCCACCACAAGATGGAGTGCCGGCTGCCACTTCAGGCAAATTTATAGAGGGTAAAGCCATCACATCGTGAGATGGCAGGAGAAGGGGAAGCCCAGCTATGGGATGGATTGATTCCACAAAGGCAGCCACAGCCTTGAGTTCACAAGAGCCATCAAGGACAGGCTATTTCAGAAGGCGTTCATTCATACGGTCACCGCAAGTCCGAGACGACTTGACAGCGCGTAGCAATAAGAAAGCCGCTGATGGAAAACAGCCCTGATGACAGGCAACGTCTCCAGAAGCAGGGGCGGTTTTCCCGTTTGGCTTCTGGTAGCGAGAGGAACGCCACCTCCTGAACTGGCCAGCCACGTCTGAACGCTTTCTGTCCTGCCATATTGCTTTTTCCCTTTTACCTGTTTTGTCTTTCACATCATTCGCAGCTGCGAGAGCCCCACATCGCGTCACTGAGCCCACGAGACGGACGGGGGACGTCCCTTGCCCCTACCTGTGCTCCGACCAACTGAAGAAGCGCGAAGTTGACGGGAAGCACGTCGATGTCCGTGTTGATGGCCGTCTGGTCGAACGGGCAGGCCTTGCGGTGCAGCTTGTTCAGGCAGGTCTTGCACACCGTGTGGGAGCAGCCCAAGCTGATGGGCTTGTGCACGTTCTCGTCGAACTCGTTGTAGCAGATCGGGCAGGACAGGAACTCCGTCCACTGCGCCGCCTGCACAGGCATCGTGGCAGCCTGGGGAAGGGGGCTCCTTCGGGCGGCTAGCAGACCATGCCGTCACGCCCCAGGGCCCGGCAGCTGAAAAGGTAGACAGAGCATTCACGGAGGCACACCTGGGCTACGTTAGCGCCTGGAGGGCGGGAGAGTTGCCTGTAAGCACAGTGGGCCACCCCTGGGGATTCTGTGCTGGAAAGGCAGCCGACATTTTCACTCAAAGGCAAGCAGAGGGAAGGCGACCCCACTGCAGCAGTCCAGTTACAAGCTCATATGGGGGCCGAAACAGAGGCGGCATGGCTGAGACGAAGGCCATAGTAAGCAAGCAAATGGCTTAGCGATTATCCAGCTGCACACCGCTCATTTCCACTCCGGGCTGGCTTCAAGAGGCTTGTCCTTTGCTTCCGGAGGGCCTGCTACGGGAGCAGACGGAGGAAATTCTCCAACACGTCTTGCACTACATGTCTTCTGTGGCTGCTTAAACAGTTCCTTTTACTTTGAAGGAGCTGCATAAGTCAGTGCGGTGTGCGACTGAAGTTTGTGTGGGAGTGTGCACTGGCAGATCTGGGCTAAGGTAACAGCCATTATCAGGCGACGTGCAAATTTAGCTCCCTTTTTCACTCAATGCAGATGTGGCTCTGATAAATCTCCCCAAACTCGATGCAGCAGATTGGACAGTGATCGGGTGTAGGAGTACACACGGCGAAGGTGACTAAATGCAGTTCTGGGGAGCTGCGGTTTGTGGGAGGAGCCCAGGAAAGTAAAAAATAGGGTGCAGTCCAATCAACGTAAACATATATGCATATAGTTTCCTATTTGCAGCCTCTCCGGGTCAAAGTCCATGGCTGGTCCCTGCCGGACAGCAAAACATCATTTCTGGGAAAAGGGGGGAAGCTGCGGGCATGAAGCGGGCTGACCATTCCAGCAGGCGACGCCGGACCACGACAGCCGCTCCACGTGCTCCAACGGCGTTGGTGGGACGGCTGTCATGTGCCGCCACGGCGCAGGTGAGCCCAGTGAGGGAGGCAAGGGTTAGCCACTCTCGCCAAGAGGTTTGCTCACTGCTTCCCTGGACCCAAAGTGGGGTCCGTTGCCCGGGTTTAGACAACGCCACGACTTACTGTGGGTACGACAACCCTGAAAACAAACCGGGGGTTAGCAGGGTGCTGACTTGTTGCCCACAAACAAACCATCCTTTCCTCTCTAGCATAGCGGTTCTAGAAAATGTTGAACCAGCTTTCCAGTCAGTTAAGTTCATTATTATTTTTCACACTTTCAGACATTGTCCATCTGACACAGTCAGAGCAGAGCGCATGCTGTGATTATGTGGGAGCAGGGGGGAGGGGGCTTAATACAGATCATTAATACAGATCCCTGAGAATCTCAGCTTTTTCTTGACACTCCCCTCACTGTCAAATAGTTAAGTTTCTAGTCCTTATGATCATGAAGAAATGCTTCAAGGTGTGAGCAACAGGAGCTGAAAAGATGGCTTATAAAGACAGCCAGTGGGTTTTGAGGGGGAAGGGGCTTCAGTGCCTCTACTGATCAAAGGACAAGAGGAGCCTGTGCACAATAACAGCGTGTGCGAAATTTGCACAGCATTCCAATTCTGAAAGTTCCGCTTTGGAATGTCAATTTCCTTTGCAAGGGAACAACGCAAATGGGAGTGGGGAGAGAAGCCTTTTCAACTTGAGCACTGCCAGCAGCCGACCAGAATGGAACAGGGGAGCCACCCCGGCCTCGGCTGGAGTGTTGCAGGGTAACCAAGCAGGCCTGAGCTTCGGGGTACCAGCGAGAGGGAAACCAAATCAGTTGAGCTCTGGCAACGAGTGAACTCCTCACACCAGCACACCTCCCTCTCGGAAACATGGAGGCTGTTTCATCAGAAGGCCCCTGCGTTTGCTCTGTTTCTGGCCGGACAAGATGCTGGTGGCCAGCCTCCTTTTCTGGTCTGTTTCGCTGCCCGCAGACCCAGCCTCTCCCTCCAGGACCAACCCATAGCCAGCCAGAGGGGACAGAGACAGGATGGAGGCTTCTGCTCCAGCCACCGCTTGCGCACCCGGAGAAGGAAAGCGAACAAGCAGTGGGGAAAGCAGCCCACGGACATCAGCCCCGCAGCTGGCCACGCCGCCAACCGCACGAGGCCAGTATTCCCTGCTCCAGAAAGAGCCAGGTGGGTCCAAGCAGAGAAGGCCTGGGCCTCCTTCTGCATCGGAAACGCAGGCATGGAAGAGGGCAATGGCGTGATGCGCCCACAGGAATGAACGAGGGAGGCCACGAAGCACAGGAGTATCGGAAAGAGCGCTAAAAGCGGAGCACATCTGAGTGCACCCACATTCCACAACTTCTGGTTTCATATTTCAATCGGGTTTTGGCTGAGTGGCAATTTGATTACAAGCAACACATCAAAACGCTTCCTTGGTGCCTCCTGATTTAAGGCTTGCTTTTCTGCATACATTTTAATTGCAACCATCTGCTTAAAAATTCTGTGTGGAACCTTCCTTATCTAATGCCCAAAAGCAACAGGATACACAGTGTTCTTATCTCCATGCCGAGTGTTAACATTTGGAAGGTGTATTATTTCTGATTCATTCGCACATGAATATCTGCTGTGCTTTTTTGCTGATTCAACATTTTATTGGCCTAACCCTATGCCTCTTCCATGCCATAACTATTCACTTAACTTTCCAGAGCTTCAACTGGTGTTTTAAGATAAGGACCCCCCCCCGCCCCCCCACGACAGAAATCGTCTGGCCGCTGTGACTAGCTTAGAATATAGCAGCGTTTTGGATGATGGGTGATATATCTGAGGCCTTCTCAGAAATGTCACGTAGGGTGCAAATTTAGACAGAAAAAGGCCTACAGCTTCTGCATGCCCTGGCCAAGCTGCCAGGCATTTTGGACTAAATTATTGGCTATGCTGGCCGGCAAGGAGAGGAGCTGCGGACCAACACATCTATCTGGTGGGCACCAGATCTCTGTTCTGGCACGGCTGCCACATCGCAATGGAGACCTGGAGAGGCCGGGGGGGGGGGGCGCTCATTTCACTGCCCATCCCAAGCCACCGCTCGGGATGAGAGGCTGCATGTGCACCACGGAAGGGTGGGGCCTGTGTGGGTCACTGTCCCACAGCTGCATGTGGCCAGGGAAGATGGGTAACTGGGGCCAGTTGCCCTGCTTTATTTTGAACAGTTCCACACCTGCTTTCACTGCAAATGCAATGAAGAATAATATGCAAGGTGATCGCCTTAATGCTCTTCTCAAAAAGCATCTGCAGGCACTCCATAGGCTGGGAGGCATCACCACAGACAACTGAGGTGTGAGCTAACATTCGCAATTAGCCACAGACTTGCGCTTCCCCTGTTTTTCTACGTCGCATTCGGCCTCACCCCCCACACGAGGCACAGAATGGGACCATGCCTCAGAACGCAGAGGATTCCTTCCTACCTGTTACCACGAACAGCAGCTGACAGATCCATCCTCCATGAATCTGTCTTCACAGAGGAGCCCTCTAACTCTGAGTTGTGATAAATCAACAGAATGCCCACGAGCACAGGAAGCCTAATTCTAATGAGCAGGTGCCCAGGTAAAACAGCAAAAGGTGCTGTGCGCCTCAGCTGCGGATTTGTGGTGTTTCAGCTAAACAATCACCACAATGAACATTATTTGTTCAGTGTAGTTTTGCTCTCACCCCCCAGGTGTTCAGGATGGGGCGAGTTACACCCAGAGATTCTGAGTCAAGGGCGCTACACCCCAGTGCTATGTTTTAGGCCTGCTTAAATTAATGGTGCTTATTTAAACATAGCAAGGACACTTCTGTTGAATGACAATTTTAAGCAGATTCTGCTAGAACTCTAAACTCCACTGAGACCAAGTAAGTGTTGAGAACATTGCTTTTAGTCTCTAATGCAAATCTTAGGAACCCCCCACCCACTGCTCGCCCCAGGGCCATGATTTTGGGAGCCTAAGACCTTCATGCTCAAGAGAGTTTAATTACAGGGTTTAGGGAGAGAAGGGGGTGCAAATTTCCTGTCTGAGCTGAAAAGAAATGGAATATGTCTACGGAAAGGGAAGGATTCCAGAATTATCTGGAGAAGGGGTTCAGCACTACACATATTAGGAAACGCATGAAGATTTACTTACGGAGAGAATGTCTATCATTTCACCCACCCGTTTTCTTCTACAGAGGCCTGAGTCATAGTGAAAGTCCAGGAAAAAGCGGCAGTCACAATAATAGCGCCCCGCATCCTTTAGACATGATGACCTACAGCTTAAATAAACCTCCTCTACATAGCACAGCCTCACTTATTTCTGCATATGTTGTGCCTGCTGCAAGCCAAGCCTCAGTCTGGCCCAGGGCCCTCTCCTCAGTATGTGAGGAAATAAAGACGGCATACTCCTGAACATGTGCAGAGTGCCACTGTTTCACACCTGATTAGCTCCTGCCTGCCTCCACATGTTTCCAGGTCACAGCATCTGAATTTCCATAGGAATAAGTTCCGGCCATAACCGAAGCAGGTCTCCCTGCAGGAGAATATCAGTAACAACACGGCATGGGCAGAGTGCAATCTTTTTGTTATTAAAACCCTCAAAGGTACCACCTGAGAGGAGAGTGGCTTTTCAAGCCACATTTCCTTTCCACAAAAGAACAGCAGCGAAACGCAAACTGAAACCTCACCCTCGCTTGTTTATTATTATTTCATTTGAACTTCAAAAAGGAAACAGGCTCATGAATGTTAATATTGAAAGGAAGTGACTTCTTTTCTACAGTTCTGAGATGCATGCAATGGGGTAAGCTGGGGTGGATGGACAAGCAAGTTGAACTGGGTGGAAATCTGCTATTGCACTTTGTTGAAAGAGGTTATCTTTTCATGCACGTTTTATTTTATGGCAGGGATGTTCAACTGCTCCATCTCCTAAATGACTATACTCTGAAGTGGTTGGTAGTGGAACCAACCGGAGGGGGGCATTCCTGGATTTATTCCTAGGTGGGGCTGCCCAGGACAGAGTGCAAGATATAAATGTTGCCATGCCGTTCAGTAAGAGTGACCATGCTGGTATCAGATTTAATATACATCGTTGAAAGACGGCCAAAAGGGTTGAACACGGCTGCGTTCGACTTCAAAAGAGGAAACTTTTCAAGAATGAAGGAACTGGTAAAGACGACACCAAAGAGGGAAATCGCAAAGAGGGAAATCGCGAAGTGTGAATCACTTCAAGGCGCTTGGAGATTATTCAGAAACACTGCAGTAGAGGCACAGCTACTACGTGTCCTGCAAGGGAGGAAAGGCAGCGCAAAGTCCAGGAGCTCACCAGCGTGCTTAAAGCGTGGAGTCCAGGACGCGCTTAGAGCAAAGAAAGCTTCCTTTAAAAATTGAAGTCCTGCCCAAGTAATAATAATTAAAAAGAAAAAGAAAAAGCAGAAGGGACCACGAGTTTGCACAAGGGAGATGCAAGCAGGCTATCAGAGTAGCAGGGAAGCATTTTGCTAACAATAGCAAGGCCAACAATGGAGAATTCTTCAAATATATCAGAAAAAAGAAAGCAGCTAAAGCAGCAGTTGGACCATTGGATGATAATGGAATTAAAGGAGCACTAACGGGGGACCAGGAGCAGGTGAATGACTTATTTTTAACTGGTCTTCACAGCAGATGATGCAAAGCAGATCCCTGCCCCTGAACTTTCGTGTTCTGGAAGAGAATCTAAGGAATTAAGGCAGATAGTAATGACAAAAGATGAAATTCTCACTCCTACTGACAAACTGAAAGTCACTTGGTATCCATTCTTGAGTTCTCAGAGAACTCAAACAGAAAATTGCTAGGCTTCTTACAAAAATATTTAACATGTCCCTAAAATTAGCCCTTGCACCATAAGGTTAGAAAATGGCCAATGCAGCACAAATTTTTTAAAAAGGGATCCAAGGCATATCAAGGGAATAACAGGCCAGTTAGTGTAACATCTGTTCTGGATCAACCGCTCAAAAGCATGATTAAAGATTGAATCATAAGCACGTCGAAGAACAAGCTCTGCTGGGGGGAAAAACAGCATGGCTTCTGCAAGGAGAAATCTTGTCTCACTAACCTACTGGAGTTCTTTGAGAGTGTCAACAGGCATGTAGATGGGGGGGGGGCTTTTGCTTCTGACAAATTCCCTCACCAAAGTCTCCTGAGCAAACTAAGCGGTCACGGAATAAAGGGGGGGGGTGTACTCTGCTGAATCACTAACTGGTTAAAGAACAGAATGCAGAGAGTGGGAGTACATAGCAATTTCTCCCAATGATGTAATGAATGGAGTATTAGGACCGGTGCTTTTCAACCTATACATAAATGATCTGAAATTAGGAGAAAGAAAGTGGCCAAGTTTGCTGATGACACTAACGTTTTTAGGGTGGTTAAAACCATGGGAACTCTCCAAGCTGGGAAAATGGACATCAAAATGGCAACTGCAGCTCAATACAAGGAAGTGTAAAGTAATACACATTGGGGCAAAAAATCCCAACTTCAGGTATACACTGATGGGATCTGGGCTAGCAGTAACTGAGCAAGAAAGGGATCCTGGAGTGGCGGTGGACGGCTTGATGAAAAGGTCGGCCCAGTGCATGGCTGCTGTGAAAAATGCAATATCCACACTAGGCCCGTTTAGAAAACAGAATAGAATAGAAAATAGAACTGGCAGAATGTTGCTTCCCTTATACGAGTCTCTGGTGCAACTGCACTTGGAATACTGTATTCAATTCTGGTTGCCTTACCTGAAAAAGGACATTACTGAGCTGGAAAAGGTACAGAGAAGACAGCAAAATTGATCACGGAGCTGGAACAGCTCCCTTATAAGGAGCAGTCGCAATGACTGGGACTGTTTAGCTTTTTAAAAAAAAGGCAAATAAGGGGAGACACGCTAGAGGTTTTTAAAATAATGTGTGGTATGGAGAAAAAGAGCAGAGGGGTGCATTTTTCTACCTGTCCCATGACACTTGAACCTGCTGTCATCCTATGAAGCTGATTAGTGGGAGGTTTAGGACAGGGAAAAGAAGACAGGTGTACTTCTTGACACACCATATCGTTCAACTGTGGAATGCGCCGCCATGGGAAGTGGTGATGGCTGCCCATCCAGATGGCTTTAAAGGGAATACACAGGTTCGTGAGGGAGGCGGCTATCAGTAGCTACTAGTTTTGCTGGCTGTGTGCTACCTCTGCGTTACCTTGGGGGGCATGTCTGCATACACCTGTTGCGGAGCAGCTTGAGTGGGTAGAGATCTTGCACCCATCCTGCTTGAGGGATCCTGTGGGCTGCTGGTTTGCCACCACGAATGGAGTGCTTGGCAGATGGACTTGGGTATGATGCACCCGGGCTTTTTTAATGTTCTTATTAAAATGGCAGCAAATTTAAAATGTACTCACATAGGTCTAAAAAGCAACAGAATAAACAAGGAAAATATCAAATAAACGTATCAGGAGAAACTGTTAGGAACACTGGGAGCTGCCTTTTATCAGGTCAGACCAATTTTCATAGTGTTCTGAACTCTCCAAATGCTTTCTGACTGCCAAACCTATGAAAAATCCTACCTGCTGAAGAAGTGGATTTAGCTACACGCGCACATTTCTCAGCAGTCCACAGCATAACAACTTTAAACAGTCCAAGAACTATTTTGTACTCCTAAAGATTTTGGTGATTGCGTTCAGAATCTTCAGGACACAGACCAGATCAAAGCTGTTGTGTTAAGGAGCTGACATTTTTTGTACTATCTAATTTACTATAAAGCATAAGCTGGTGAAAAATACGTTGGACCACCTAACTAAGATCCAAGGCCATTTCCATCAGCAATTTTGCTCAATCTCACTAAAAGACGCAGAGATAGAAGGAGCATATTTCATTTTGCATAAAAGTGTAACTGTATTTTAACCACTAAGCAAACTAGATCCAGAATTTGCAGGAATTTATTTTAATAAATACTCTGGCATCCCCAGTAAAAAGAAGGTATATGTTACAATTGTACAATTAAAAAAAAAAACAGCACAGACCATCAACAGTTTAGTTGGGATTTCATCCTCCCCTGAATGTGGAGTAGAACATGTAGGAGACATAATTTAAAATAAGTCAAATAGACGACTTAAAAGCTTGAGAAGACAATCTAATGCAACATTAACAAATTGGAGCTCAAATGCTTTTCGCCTAGAATGCAAAGGCCACTCCAAATACAGAACACACATCCATGTGTGCACCAACGTACAACACGGGCCTAGCACAGATAAACACAGGTGACAAAACACAGATTTGCTTGTGTGTACACAAATGTGAGCATTGGCTGGGAAGCAGCGCCAACCAAGACAGCCACATAGGCAGTGGCCAGGGAAGGATATACACACACACAGTTCCAACATATGCGCTACATTGTACACAGAAGCGACACGGCTGAAAAAGCCCAGGGAGCGAATGCTCTGCCCCTGCGATTCATGACAGCACATGCTTGATCCAGGCATGACAAAAACGTGAGCATGCAACTTCACACATCTGAATTCCATGCTCGAAGAAGCGCTCTGCATCATCTGAAGGCTTGCTGCCAGCACCAGGGCTGGGATGCTCAAGGGCTTTCTTCCCCGCTGTTCCAACCCACCTGAGAATCACGCTGTATGGATTGTATTACTATGCCACCTGTGTAGCGAGTAGCGACCAGGGCATGCAAGAGAGGTGGTGGTGGGGGGGGCAAGAGATGACGGGACAGAGCTGGCGAGACGCAGGGAGGGAAAACAGGTGGTCCCCGGCTGAAGGATGGGCGCTAGCCCTCCTGCTGGGCGCCAGGTGCGGAGAGGCTCCCGGCCCACCCGCGGTGGTGGCTTCGAAGGGGGGAGCAGAGCCCGGGGGCACAAAAATGAAGGCACTGGGGGGGGGGGGACACAACGGAGATAATTTGCATTCTACCTTGACTTTTACAACGAAAGGAAGTTGATCGATTATGCCTTAGAAATGCTTACGGAGGAGGCCTTTCGGGGACCCCGTGGGCCGCCCTTATGCAACCCCCGCGCCCCGGGAAAAGGAAGACCCCCCCATGGCCCTCGGAGAACGACGGCGGGCGAGGGGCGCTTCCGCCCCACGGCGGGGCAGCTCCCCTGGGCGGGGGGGCCGGCGGGCCCCGCGGGCCCGCATCCCGCCGCCCCCCGCGGCCCGGCCGCCCCCTCCCCCCGCAGGGACGGTTGCGCGGGGGAGGGGCCGCCGCGGGCGCCACGCCCCTCCCCCACCCCCTCCCCGGAGGCCCACGGGGCGGGGCTGCCCCTCCGGGCGCCCCCCGCCGGCCCGCGCCGTACCTGCGGAGGACCGGCCTCTCCTCACACCCCCTGAGGGGCACACCCCGGAGCGGCCCGGCGTCGGCGGCGGCGGCGGCGTCTCCTCATCGCGGTGACAGCCGGGAGCCCCGCCCACCGCGGGCCCGGCTCCCTCTCGCGAGACGCGCGACTCACGCCCGCCCTCCCCGGTCACGTGCCGGCCGGCCGCGGCGCGCGCAGCGGCCGACGAGCCCGGCGCCCAGAGCGGCGGCCGGAAGGGACCATAGAGTCCGCCCCCCGCATCGCGCGGGCCCGAGGCGCCGCCCCAGGCCGGGCGGCCCCCGCGGGCCACGGCACGCGAACCCGCGGGCGAAGCCGGCGCCCGGCCGGCCCTCCGTTCGTCTCCCCGAGCCGGGCGCTTCCTCCCTGTCGTTATTTATTAGATTTGTACCGCGCTTTTTTCTTGCGAACTCAAAGCGCTTCACACCAGTCTCCCTCCTGCTGCTGCTCTCGCTCTGTCCCCACAACCACCGCCTTGTGAGGCGGGTTGGCCCGAGGGGCGGCGGCCGGCCCCGAGTCGCCTAGCTGGGCCCCGCTCAGCCCCGGCACCGCCCGGCTCTCGGTATTCCTGCCTCTCGGCAATACGGCCATGAAGGAAGCAAAGCTTTCGGTATTTAAACTGAATTGACAAGGCTGGAAGGAAAAACAAGCCGAAACCCAACTTTAAAAATGCATCAGTAAGAAGCTAATACACTGGTCTGGCTTTGATTTGTTACCATTTTCAAAAAAATTACTCAAGGGCCTGGCTTTGTCCGAGGACCTTGAGATAGGTTTGGATATACAGGAATTATGTGAAACAATACAGATTAAATGATAATGTATTATTTAAATATATTGTTCACAAAATTCTATATAAATAAATTCAGGATGTTTACATCTGTTTCCGTACATTTGTAGATGAACCCTTCCTGCATCTGATGAGGAGGACGGGCTCTGCAAAATCGTATTCCAGAATAAACATGCTAGTCATTAAGGGGCTACAAGATCCTTTGTATAAAGAGAGGCTGCTGAGCGTTTGTGGGGAGTATAGATGGACACCTTACAGCGCAACCTCGTGCTTGAATTCAGTGAGGCTTAATAATCAGGTAAGCATGTATAAGCTTGCAGCTTTTTAAAAGAAGCAGTAAACAAAATGGACATAGGGTGCATTCCTATGCATCCATGCATTGGATTGCACACTTAAAGGACACTCTAGTGCGGCTGCCGATAATCCTCAACTCGGGATTAGAAACCATCCTATCCACAGGAGGAGGCAAAACTTGGCTGTTCTCCTTCCGCTTCACAAAGCAGCCGGATCAGATTTTAGCCACCCAAGTGCGATGCTTTGGAAGGAGATGGAGGGAGGCTGAGGTGCCAGTTAGATATGGTGTTGATTATTGCCCTTCTTACTCCTAAGCCCCTGCTCCAGGATTGCTCTTACATTTTTGGAGAAACCGCTGATGCAGGGTTTCGCTTTTTTCTTGTGCTAGCTGCAAGGGAGGAGAGAATCAAAGGCTGGATATCTGTCCCAACCATGGATCTAGGAAATTGAAAAGCCCTATGAGCCTCTGCATTTGTTTATCTATTTAAAACATTTATAAGCCACCTATTTTGCCCGTGGCTTCTCTTGACATTGTCTCAGGGCTGAAGCATTGCCCTGTTAGCTGACATGCTCTGTAGCAGAAGTTATAGTGCATCCAAATACATTTCGACCAAAATACAAAAATGTAGGATAATTAGCTATGGAAATTATTTAAGGTACAGAAGGAAGGTTTAATTCTATCTCTGGTTACAGCTTCAGGACAAATAATTAAATCTGGAAGAAATTAAGGGACTATTCTTCTTGTAGTTCTTTCTAGCAGAGCAATCTGCATATATCTTTTTCTTTGCAAATCTTTCGGTGAAACCGAAGGTGGCAGTTAAGCAAAGTAATGTAAGAATAAGAAGTATCAAAGTGCATCATTATCAATGCTTCTCGTCAATAATTGTTGATAAATGTTTACTATACTCAATTATTCCCATAAATTTGTGGAGAAGCAAAGGAGACATTGGGAGAGGATGCAATACAAAGACAGGAATATTTTTATGCAAGGCTTATAAAATAGAAGGGGCAAGCATAAATGATGGGCTTCCCATTAGTTAAGAAAAATCTATGCCTCTCTCAGGTTTGTGATCTCCAAAAGTTGCCAAAGCCGCCAGTAGCATTTTCTGTTAATTCAGGAGGATCAAAAGAAACCCATCAGCTCTGGGCAGAATTTATTTTCGCTACAAATAATACGAAATAAAAATGCACGCAGACCAGTAAGCAGGACATCAAAGGTGCCACTCCCATGACTGTGCATCAGCACTTGGAGAGTGGTGTCTTCACGACCTCTTGTGAAGTGAACACACTGGCCTGAGTAGACACACAAACTGCTCTCTAGGAAAGGTCTGGAGATGGAGAATCAGCTCCGCAACAGCAAACGGAAGGACGATACCATTCAAATACAGAGTTTAGTGTCAAGCGACTGCTTGCAGTACATATTATCAGCACAACAGAAAGTTTATATCCACCTATACAAAGAGGCAAGACCAACAAATCATATGATATAGAACACGCGTAGAGCAGATTATGTTACTAGAGAAAACGTTTGTTTATATCCGTGTATATACAGGACAGATGCCATCCTGGAAAGGGATACGAGGCGACCCATCGCAATGGCCGGGGCCTCGGTTTCTTCGCGGGCTTTCCTGCTCAAAGACAGAGCAGTGTGGCTGCCGCGGGAAAGATGCACACTGCCGAAAGCCGAATCGACATCTCCACCAACTGCGCCCGACGGACCAGAAGGATATCTGAAGCGAAGTGTGGGCATTGCTCCCAAGGTAAGACCCAGGCGGGCTCAGCGGAAAAAGCAACGCAACGTTATTTGCCCCTTCCTAATGGGCAGGTGTGTTGAACCGCAGTTTTATGGCATCCTTGCGTCTTGCACTTTGCCCAGCGCCGCTGGATCCCCAGCTGAAAAGGGCCCTTCGAGAGTGAGAACTCCAAGGGAATGGTGGAACGCAGCAGTGTTTCCATGCCTCAGAGCACTGAGGCTCCCAATGATGGGACTTGTAGTACACCACGTCTGGAGGGGGCCAGGCAGCTGCTGGCATTTTCCGTTCACTCTTCCTTTTTTTCAGAGACTCACACAAGGATAGCCAGAGCAGCAGGTGGGATAGAATATAGCAATGGTGAGGATGACTCGAGAGCATCGAAAACATCCGCTCTTTCTCACCATCAGAGTTGTGTACCAGAATCTTAAAGGACTCTTTGCACCAGTGGATTCAAAAGCATTTGATCCAAAGGCACTTAGCAAAGATCAGTCCAAGGATGCCATTAATCCTTCCCCGAAGTGGTGCCCCCCAGATGCAATGAAAGTTTTAATCCCACCCAGCAGGAGGGGATTAAAAAGCTGCAAGCCAAGGACAACCCCTTCTCTTTATGGGACACAATCATGTCAATATTAGCAATAACAGAGCTCCTAAATGTTTCTGTTGGAAGGAACGGAGTCTCTGTCTTCACCTGTTAATTTACCAGCTGAGCTGGTATGTTTGTTTCGGCCTGATTTGGTCCTCCCGAGTAGAGCCAGCACCCATGGAAAAGGATGAAAGCTCAGGAAAGAGGGTTCTAAGAGTAGAACTCGTCCTCTTTTTTAATTCTTAAAGAACTGTGAAGGTGTCCTTTCAGATAATATTTCCCGAGGTCCTCAATCCGTTTCCCTGTCATTCTCTGGCTCAAATTTCTGCCTGTCAAATTCCCAATAAAATGCTAAATCCACCATTGTCTCCATTAAAAAAGCACACCGATACCATCTCTTGCAAATAACTAATACCGATTAAAAAGCACCTAACAAATCTAGGTGCTATCTTGTTCAAACCTTCCCCTCACTTACATAGTTACCGCAGGCATTCTTGGCTCCAAAAGAGCCCATGTTTGTTCCGCTTCAATGTTTGTTTGATTGCTCGGGCGGAATTCTTACCCTGGGTGAGCCTAGGTTCACCAGCCTGCTCGAACTTCAGTGGAAATGCGGGGGGGGGGGGTGTCTGCCCGCCCAAATTTTGCAGGGCCGGGACGTAGGCGAGAGGAAGAGCAAGTTCCCCGGCCCGCCCGCCCGCCCGCCCACGGAGAGGGTGGCTAGTCGTAGTCTATGCGGACTTCCGTGATGGCGTCAAAGGCAGCCTTGTCCACGGTGCCCCTCCCGTGGACGGAGGTCAGGTGCTTCTTGAGGGCAGATTTGTGCTTGAAGTCCATGTCGCAGCAGTGGCACTTGTAGGGCCGGTCCCCGCTGTGGATGTTCAGGTGGTCCTGCAGCGTGCTCTTGGCCGTGAACGTCTTCAGGCACACCATGCACTGGAACGGGCGGATCCCCATGTGGCCCCGGATGTGCCGGTTCAGGTTCTTCTTCTGGGTGAAGGTCTTCCCGCACTGCAAGCACAGGAACAGCTTGTGCATCTTCAGGTGGCGGAGGTAGTTCTCCAGGTGCAGGAACCCCCGGGGGCACTTTGGGCACTGGTGCCGCCAGGAGTAGCTGGAGTCCTCGGGGCTCTGGAAGCCGCCCATGGCGCTCGCAGCCCCTTCCGGGGTCTCGCCGCTGAAGCTCTGGAACTGAGCACCGGGCACTTCCGTCATCCTGCTCTCCACTGTCGAGTTGATCAGCGAGTGCTGCGTCTCGGGGAAATACAGGCTTGTTTTGGAGGAGGTGCAGGGCTGCGAGAACTGCTCGGCTTCCACGCCAGCGGCATTTAGCGAATCCACCCGGAAGATGCAGATCTCATCATCCTTATAGCCGATCTCGACGGTCGAGATCTCGGGGCTTTTAACCTCCTTCCTCTCCGGTACCAAGCCTTGCATGGTGGGCGGCTGGGCGTCCCCCTTTTCCTGCTTGATGTGCTCCTCTGGGTTCGCAGGGCTGTCCTCGGAGATCTCGATGATTTCGCAGTCTCTGTCGGGGCAGCCGCCCTTGACGCCCAGCTCCATGTCGGACGAATGGCATTTCTCGCCGCACCCTCCGCCGCCCTCCACGGAGGCATCGATCTCGAGGTACCTGGACAGGGCCTCGGTGCATTTCTCCACAATGTGCACCATCTGCAGGTAACTGGCCGCTGTGAGGTACTTCAGGAGCTCCTTCCTCTTCACCTCCAGAGCCCCCGTGTAGCAGGACAGGAGCAGCTTCCGGCCCACCTCCGCACTCTGCAGGATGGTGATCCGCACCTGCTGTGACTGCGTGAGCAGGAACTGGTCCCTCATGAAGGTGGAGCAGGCGGCAAAGATCACCTTGTGCCCGTGGAACTCGGTGTCGTTGATGTAGATGGACACGTCGCAGAAGAGGTTCTGCTGCCGCAGCAGGTTCATCTTCTGCAGCACGGCGTCCCCCTGCTGCTCGAACTGGAAGTGGAGCACGTCGGAGTCCGCCGCCATGGTCGTGACGCGCCGGGGCAGCACCTGCGGGTGGGAGGGCAAGCGGGAAGTGACTGCCGCGAGCGTGGGCCTCACACGCACGAGGGCACCTCCGTCGGCCTTGGGTGCCTCGCGGCAAGCCCCTTTTTGCTGCACAAGCCCCATTACTCCCTGCCTTCTCTGTCTGTGGATTTTTATTGATTCCCTTCATGGCCTGCCTCTTTCTCCTGCAGGGAGCCCGGCATGGCTTACATCCCTCTCCTCCTCTCAGCAGCAGCCCTGCGAGGTAGGTCGGGCTGGGAGTCTGGGACTGGCCCCAAGTCGCCCCGTTGGCTCCATGGCTGAGCGGGGACTCGAACCCAGAGCCACGGCCCCGTGCTCTTCGCCACACCACCACACGGGCGGCCTTGAGAGCATGGCTCGGTTTGCCCCAGGGGCCGGCTCAGCCTTAAGCCTTTCCAGGGCAAGATGGGGAATAGAGAGTTACCGCTGCGGTGCAGGCTCCCACGGTGGCGCTCTTCCGTAAAAGCCCCACGCCCCGCAGGCAGAGAGCTAGCTGTCAAGCGAAAGGCTTGCAGCAGATGTACTCTGTGCTCCCGCACACCCGTCCTAAGCAACTGATTGCCCAGGGTGTCTGCACCAAATGCTGTGAGCGGGCTGGGCTGGGCGAGACGGGCGAGTCCTCATCCAGCCACAGAGCTCCCCGGGGGAGAGTCCCAGGCGCCCGGGCCGCCCTACCTCGCAGGGTGGTCGTGAGGACGGAAAGGGGAGAGCGCGCGGGGGGGGGACCAAGTTCCCTGCCGGGAGAGCGCGCGGGGTCCGGACGGGATACCGGGCGGCGTCCATGCAACGCGCGCGCGGGCGTTTCCGAGAGGACGGCCGGACGGCAGGCAGGCAGGCAGGCACGGGCCAGCGGCGCCCAGCGCCCTCCCGCCGCGCTCCCGGTCTGCGCGGGGGGCTCCGGGGGCGGGGGGCTCCGCGGGCCGCGCTCCCCTCCCCTCCCCTCCCCTCCCCTGCCGGGCCCCCGCGGCGCCCGCCCCGCGCCGGGCTCTGCGGCGGCGAGTGTCCGGAGGCCGCGGGAACGGATCGCGGGGGCGCCCGCCCGCCCGGCCGCTCGCTCACTCACCGGAGCCGCGCTCGCAG